TTCAGCAGGTCGCCTAGACTGACAACCAGCTCCTCGATTGTCATTCGACGTGTCCTGTAGTCTGCCAGAAGCTGAGACAGTGCTGCCCTCTCGCTCCTCGCGAGGACCACCCTCGCTTTCTCCTCCACCATGGCGGCTGTCGCTGCTGAGACCGTGTGCATGCCGCCCCTGTGTCTCCAGTCACTGGCGATGCTACGGTTAAGACATAGAGATCGTTAGATCGATCGAGATATCGTCGGATCGTTGCTTCAGCGAACCTGGGTGGCCTAGAGTTAGGACACCGTTCTTAGAAGTTGAATCGACGAAGTTGGAATTGACACAGTAGCGATATATTAGCGGTATAGTTGGCTAGAGTTAGTCTAGAGTTAGCGGAGTACCCGGTGCAAAGTTTCGGCTCTGAGTGACTTAAAAGGACGACGGTGAAACTTGCTTCGAATGGGTGTTTCTTACGTAGGACTCGGTGGTCGATGGTTCCCAGGGCTGTCCAGCAGCAGAGGGTCGTGCTCGGAGTACCTAGAGGTGGGCATAACGATGGGTTGGCTCGTGGTACAGGAGTGTGGCACCTTCCCAACATCGCGGATCAGGAGAGTCATCCTCTTGTTCGTCTTCAGGATCTCCACTGCCTCGTCGTGGGTCGCCTCCTCGAAGCTCTGCCCGTTTACCTCGATGATCTGATCACCTACCTGGCGAACAGACAAACCCCACGAGTATATCAATTTCTTTGCCCTAATTTTGCTAATTTCCATGTAATCTTCCGTTTCCAAATTACCTCCAGCAACCTATCATCCTTCGTTTAAAGGTTATGTCGTAAAAGGGTATACAGGAGTTGGAGTTTCCAGCGAGATTCGGCCAATAGGATTGTCGAGGAACGAAAGGCAGAAACGCCCCGAGTGCTTGCCTTTTCGAATACCATCAAATCTTCGCGATCGTTAGCGTCCGCACAGTGAAGCATCATTCCGAACCACTTTCGTCATTGGGAGTGCTTGCCGCCGTTCTAGCGCGGCGGACTAATTAATTCCTCCTGACATTGAATTACGTAACGGGCTAATTGATACCGCTCGTTATTCCACGAACGTCCTGTTACGTCTGCCCGACGCGATCGTAATGTTTCCGCGAATTACTCCGTCTCAATGTCACGCGATCGAACGACCGAAACTTCCACGGCTCGAAAATCGCCCTGATCGAGCGACCATAATCTAGATAATCCCTATCGCCCACTCTGGAAATTTACAATCTTCCTGTCCCCACGTCCGATGCGATATCGACTCGAATAGGAAGCGGAGGGAAAAAGAAGGGAAAACTTTTCGACTTTGTCGTCAATTTTAGCAGAAAATGGCCCCTTCTTCGAGGGAAGGGGATGTAATAAAAATACTGCGAGTAGAGGGAAAGACTTTTACCAAAAGTCCGGCTCGGTCGGCCACGCTGTCCTTGTCCACTCCGGTGACATAAATCCCAAGGCCGTACTCGAGGCCACCCCTGATCATCAGACCTAGAGACTGGCCAGGCTCGATGCACAGCTCGACCTTCCTGGTTCTCGGGACGTACCTCGAGTCTCGGGGTGGGTACAATGGCGGCGGAGATGTTGGACGACCTTGACGGTCGATCCAGCTGCAGGATTGCTGACGACCGGATGTCGACCACACCGGATGACCGCCTCTGCAGCGGGGGTCCAACGCTGGGCCCCGAACTGTCATGCTCAGGGTCCTGCAGGACTTCAGCATCTGCGACAAACGTGGAAGCGTCTTGGTTAGGTTTGCCACGACCTTGCATTATATCTAAGATCTCGCCTAACTATCGACGACCCGAGTTACGTGTCATATTTATACTGAAATTTGAAAAAGAATTAATTCGAATTTGGCTGGTAATGAAAAATACAATTCTCTGTTGGCAAATCACGGTGATATAATATTTTGGTATTTCGAAGGAATTCAACAGCGAGTCGTAAAACTCGGAGAGTGTAAATAAACAAGTTAGCGGAAGATACAAATGAACGTGGCGAGTTTAAGGGTGAAATTAAAAGAGAGTATGACGTTCGAGCAATCCTAACGTATATAACTCGGAAAAGGATTATTGAAAGGCGGGTAATTTTCATTGCAAATGATATTATCTCGCGGAAGTATGAAATTAACGCTAGCGGCTAAGTGATTCATGCCGCAATTCCAAGGAATTAAGTTAATTTCATCGGTCTGCGAATTTTTGCGAACCTTGTCTCGTCTCGCTGAGGAAATTCATTTATTTCGACCTGCCGCGGAAGTAACGAACAGTTTACGAGCGGACTAGAGAACAGCCTCGAATTAATAGCAAATTGAGGCTGGTTAATAATTCCGTCGTTTAACGTAATACCATCAGGAGTAATTAACCTTTATCATTGGTCACTCCATTCAGCGCTTATTGACCTACGCTCTAGCAGGCTGCATATATCTCGCTCTAACTGAGACTCTTGTAAAAGTCTTCCAAGTATAGGTGATTTTCAGCACCGATCTACGAATTCTCCAAGGACGAGTCGAAATATCTGCAAAATTTCGAAGCACCGGAAATTTAAAAATCAAAAATTCTTGAAGCACCGGAATTTAAAGATCAAAAGATTTCTTGATTTCAGGAACAGCGAGTGTTAACGCTTTGCGATTGGCAGATTTCAGTAGAGCAAATTTAGCGTTTCGCAGTTACTTTTTTAAAGTCAATTTTGGATTTTAAGTCAATATATGGATATTAACCACTTGCGCTGGAAAGACGTGTCACGCACGTCGTAATGCTTTTGTGACAGAATCGCCAATGACGTGGTATACACGTCGTTAGGCAATTGTTACAGAAACACTGGACCGTTCTGGTACACGCGTCTGTGAATTTCGTGCCACTGCAAGTGGTTAAAACACAGAGAATTTGTCGAAACTGATTTGTGATTAATACTACTTGTAATACGTAAATATACCAAATTTTTAATTTCTCTAATTTTCTGTAGTTTGCTGTATTTTTCGACTTGCGAATGCCCCCACTGCGGCAACATCGACCGTAAAGAGTTAATTTTGTTTTCGGAGAGGAATAGTTGAAGATCATCGATGTGATATTTCTTCTTATTATAGTAGTTCAGTTTACTCAAACTTTCTTTGTCGATTTTATATTTCTTTTAGGGAAAATTTCGAAGGAAGTTGCCTAGAATTTTAAATCACGAGATAGGTACGAAGTTTCGAATTCTCGAAGCTAGAGGTTTCGACGTTTCGAGGAACCCATAGAGATGTCCTCTACTCGTAGGACATCGTATTGTAAATTTAACATTTCGTGGACTGCAGATATCACGTATGTATAGGATGTACCACGAAATCGAACGAAATTCGTGGAATAAAAGAATATCGACGATGATAAAACTTTAAAAATTATTTTTCCATCAAGCAGGATAAATAATAAAATTGTTGATATTAAAATTAATCATTATACCATCTAGGTTTCACCGTTATTCTCGAGGAAAGGGGTACCAGAGGTGCATCGTGCCACCAAACACTCGAACGTAACATCCTCGTCGCCTAAACGAGGTTATTGCACTTGATCGAATAAATAGAGGCCTTAGCCTATTCTCCGAGAATTATTCAAGCCTCGTGACCAACGATCTTATGCAAAGGAGCCGACTGCCACGTATCACCAGGACAAGATTCCTCCGCTGACGACCTCAGAATAGATCGCTTATACGTGTCGTGCCTCGTGGCGAATGGAAAGAAATCATTGTCCACGAAGGGTTTCTTATGTGGCAACCTTGACAAGCGAAACACACGGACAATCGGCGTGTGTCGGGTCAACGAGGAACAAACCTGTATGCCGTCCTCGGCGAGGATGAAAGTCGTACTGTCCGACGTGTCAAAAAGCGACAAAGGATCACTTAAAAATGTTTTGTTCAAAAAAAAAATGTTTTCCAATAGTTAATTAGGAGTATACAGCATGATACAGTACCATTCTTTTTAACTTTCGTTCATTTTTAACATCGCTATACTTTGACAAAGTGAACGAGTTCCAAATTACGTGAATATAGTATCATCCTCCTTTATAAATGCTAAATTTATTATAATTGACAGTGAATGACGCCTAAATAAAATAAAATCTACTCAGTACATCCTTAAATTGAACAAAGTTCCAAATTTTGTTTGCAATATTTTTTTAATTATATCGATCTGAATGTTTTTAATTCCCATTATATCTTTTCATTATCCATTCAGTATTATTCAACATTCGTTATTATGATATCTTAAAGTTTGAAGTCTCCTCTTTATTTTGCAATAAGAATTTGCAACAATGAGCTACGAAAATTAATAATTCTTATTTATCAATAAAATTGATGAAGAGAAACTCAGAATTTCGATCTCTATATCGAATTTCTCTTTGACATGGTTTACCAGGAACGACTGAAATATATATTTGAAATTTATAAAATATATGTATATATATGATATCAGCTAAAAAATGTTTTTGCCGTATTCGGGTGCGCAGTGCATGGATCCTCTGCGACATTTCAGAAAGACCGCGTCAACTGTGCATCGAGTAACATCGAACTCGAGTGCCCTCGATGGTGCTGTCAAGAGTTCGATTACAGGAACAAAGGCACCGAAGGTACACCTTTTCGACGATTTTTACTATGCAACGAAACGACACCCTGTCGCAAGCGACATTGCCTACGTCGAGTTAGATCTATTCGACAACCTGACACCTCTCGCGTTTTCCTAACTTCTGCACAAAAAAGGTAGTACATCGAAACGACAGGTAGTCCTCTATCAACTTAATCCGACGAAAGGATGTCAATGTAGAAAGTCAACTAGATTTTCGACGTCGTCGACTAGAAAAATGCGAAAAAGGAATCGAATTTTGCACGGTAGTTGGTTTGCAAGTCCCCCTATGTTCCTGACTATGAAAAAGTTAGGATAAAGAGCCTATGACAGCTATGGTACCGTCACTACATCCTTGTCAGAGGATACGGGTGAATTATTGCATTTTCCGATCCCCCCTAATATATTTGCTTCTACTTGTACCTAGCACGAGGCCTAGCCATTGTCCTTCAGATCGCATTTCCTGTCTATTTCTTCCAAGGATTCGCTTGAGCCTGGTCAGTTTCGAGTTAGACCCAGACAGGTCTCTTCGCTTCCTATTTTACGACCCTTTCCCGTCCTTTCGACTTTCCCTCGTGGAGTTTGCAGCACTTTCCTCTCTCAAAGGTCTCTTTCCCCCTTCACACACTCGCAAGCGTTTATATTTGCGAGGTTGGAAGGGTCAAGGGTTAGTTGGTTGTCAATAATACAGTTTGCTAGATTACGTCAAGAGTCTATTCTTATCAGCCGATTGTATTCCGAATATATAGTCTACCAATGCCTAAACTCCGACTGTCACTTGTACATTCTAACGTCATTACACGTTACATAGACTATCGTTACAATTATAATTGATATCCCCTCTGTTAAGTCGAACGCGAGCGGACCGCAAAGGATTAAAGACTCGGCGTTGGTGCTGCGAGGGGGAAGAGAACAGGGTCGGGAAATGAATATTTGAGAAGCACGGAGGGAATGAAATTACGTGGGACGAAGCAAGACTCTGGGTAAAGGACGAGCACGTAGAAGCTTATACAGCCTTCATGCGCTGCGCAACCTTGGCGCGAATTAACGCCGGGCCGGGGACCGGAAATCCTGCGGGAGATTTATGTCTCGCGTATTTCCCGAATCCACTTCGACCCGGACTCGAATTTCTTTGCAGTGGCATTTGCATAGGGAACGAAACGTCCCGAGTCGCTAAACGATTGTAATTACGAATTGAATCGAATCGAACGCGACAAATCCAAGGCTAAGCCGCAGAGGCACGTGGGGAGAGACTGGTGGGGTACCTGTGCCAATACCGGAAGAGTACCCGTTCGCGAGAGGTGTCCGTGGCACAGGTTCAGAGAGAATTGGCACGTGTAAGGTCAACAAGGAGCAGACGGTGCGTTCGACGATGACGCTGCTTGGTAGCTAGGATATCGATCCTGGTGGTCGGTGACGTCACATCCTGCCTATCCTTGACCCAGCCCGGATCACGTCCTCAGGATTCCATGCCTCTGGCCCCCGGCGACGCGGAGATGCAATTTTGTCGTATCTATGCGAGGCATGCACCAACCTCGCTGCTCCTTCCGCCTGCTCCGTCGCGGAGGATCCTTCAGGAACGCGCGGAACTCTTCCGACGAGGCCGCATAAATTACCGTGTCCAAGTAGCGGAATTGCAGCGCGATTCATCACGCCAACAGAATCGCGCTAATCACGCGCTTTCTCGGGGCTTCTGTCGTCGCCGAGGTCGAGCCGCGTTCCTGGATCACGGAAACCGATGTCGTCTTCGCATCCGGGACGAGAGCTTCCTCCGTTTCGCTGAACAGACGTGGCGGGTGTCTCGGGGTGCTGGGCTATAATCGTTAATAACTGTGCACAGGTGTAGAATTCGTTGAGAAATTATGAGAGGGTTTTCCTCGTGTCAAGTCGCACGATGAAGGATTTATGTATCCCACGCGATTAAAATTTCGCTTAGGCGTGTTTCCATATACACAGGGTGTCGCATCTCAAGTTCATTTCTGATAGAATTTGGTATGGCAGTGGTGTTAAAAAGGAAGGAACACTGATTATAAAGAGGGAACGCTTTAATAATTGGCAACTCGATCGCGCTGTACAACGATTGCTTAGAGACTGATTCGTTTAAACAAAGGAATTTGACTGGCAACCGACACGTA